TCTTGGTCACCCAGAGTTCATGTAAGATGATGCAAAGCTCATTGAAGCACTGAGCCATTCATAAAACAGGAGTTTCATTCATAAAAAGGAATACAATTCGTAAAAAATAGCAAAATTGGTCAGATGCTGGTTTGGGTTACAGGGGCGTTGCCATGTGGGGCCATGGAAAGAGCCTTAGGTTCCCACATGGGGAAGAGATAGGGGATTATGGGATCATTCCAGTGGCCTTGACAAAACTATGAATTCCCTGATTATGAACTTTTACAGAGTCCTGGGGGGTCACCTCTGATTACAGAACTTGTCCTTAGACAAGTGTCCCTGTGTATTTCTCCCTGGTGACTGAACATGAGGAGGGCATCATTCTTGCTGAGTTTCAGAAAGATCCGCTCATCCACTGATTTTTAGGGTTTTCCTCCCAATTTAAGCTCCTTGGGCAAGTCACTCTCAGCATTAGAGGTTTGAAAAATTAAAATATTTTTTCAGCTATCTACCTAACTATATACCTTTCTTTTGATCTACCTTTCTATCTACCTATGAGGAGGGTTCATTCAAGATTTCCCCGGACCCACTTCCTGTGGACTGAGAGCAATGAAACTTGGTCCTTAGTCCTTCTCTCCATGGGTGCCACCTAGGGACACACACTTCTCCCATCTTTTTAAGCAACTGTAAATACCTCGCTTGTAGAAGTTGACAGGTTGCTCCAAAAGCCATGCTGTGACTTGGGAAATCAGAGTCCCATCATCTGGAAAATGCTTGCCCTTCAAAAATAACTCCATTGTTGGAAAGAGGTGGAAGTCTGATGGTGTGAGGTCGGGTGAATAAGGTGGAATTCCAAAGCCACAGGAGCAGGCTTCTTCCTTTTGGGCAACATCTGAGTTGTGAACTGGTGTGTCTTGCAGAAGGTGGACACCTTTGGTGAACATGCCACATTGTCCTGGTTTGGATGGCCTCCCGCAGGCCCGTAGCCAGGATTTCGTTTCGGGAGGGGCTGAATTTTTTTCAGGGGGGGTTTCGGGGGGGGGTGCTCAGTCTGAGTGAAAGAGGGTCTACCCTAGCAAACCTTTTGTATCATTACCCCAATACCCCCATGCATATGGGATATATTGAGTATGGTGATCAGATCATGATATGAATAAACATAACAGTTTAAATAATGCACCAGTAAGGCCTTTTCGTGAACCACCATGAGAATTTCGGGGAGGGGGGGGCTGAAGCCCCCCGAGCCCCCCCCCCCCGGCTACATGCCTGGCCTCCCGCAATGTCCACAGCAGTGAAGCCTAGACTGCCCCAGTGATCATGGTTCCCTTTGCTAGGAAATCCACCAATACTACTCCGTGCTGGTACCAAAATCCTGTGAGCATGACCTTGCCTGGCGAGAGTTGGGCACGTGCCTTCTTTGGAGATGGTGAGTCATGATGCTTCCATTGCATCAACTGGACTTGAGTCTCAGGATCAGAGTGATGGACCCAGCTTTCATCCTGTGTGATCAGTGTTGAAAAAGTCCTCCTGGATTCCATGGCACATCATTGTCAATAGAGCCTGAGAGCATTTGACTTGTTCCTGCTTCTGTGAGCAGCCGGGGGACCCAGCGAGCAGATACCTTATGCATGTGAAGATGGTCTTGGGTTATTTTTTTTCCACGTTCTCCACACTAATCATGAAATTTTGGGCTAGGTGGCAAATGGTTACGTGGTAATTTTCCAAAATTGCGACCTCCACTTGCTGGATGCTGTGGTGATAAACAGCAGAGTGGGATCGCCTGGAATTGGAGCTGTTTGCACCGAAGTCCGGCCACATTGGAATTGACGATACCAGCTCTTGACTCCATCATATGATGGGGAATCATCACCATACACTTCTTTCACCTCGTTGAACGTCTCCTTTGGTATGAGGCCTTTCAAGGAAAGGAACTTGAGGACTGCTCTGTATTCCTCTGGGTTCATTATCAAACCTCACACTACTTCAGCACCTGTACAATCAAGACTGTTACCAGTTCGGAGTTGTAAACTGGCACCTACCTTTCTATCTAACTTTCTATTACTTATCTGTCTGTCTTCCTATCTACCTTTCTATCTATCTATCTTTCCATTACCGATCTACCTGCCTGCCTTTCTATTTACCTATCTACCTGTATATATTTCTACTTGTATATCTACCTACCTGTCTCATCATTCTATTTTCCTACCTAACTGTCCATCTTTCTATATACCTTTCTATCTACACGTGTACCTATCTATAATTTCTGGTTCCGAGCAGCCTTTGGGATCTCTATTTGGGGATGCATTGTGATCATCATTTCCTGGGAAGTAATGAGCTGGGCCCCCCCCCCCCCCATCTCCCTAGGAACTCTGTGAAGGATGTGAATCAGTCTCCAGGCAACTTGGACTTGACAGAGCCTCCTCCTTCCTGGTGGCGTACCTCCCGCCAGTGAGATCCTGGCAAGATTTATTTATTTATTTATCGTGTCAGGAGCGAACCAAAACAGTTGTATTGCATTTAAAAAATAGACAAACAAACAAACAAAATACAACATTTGCAGATTTGGTATTCTATTAAATGTCCTTTGACCAGTAGCTGGCCACTTGGAGTGCCTCTGGTGTTGCCGCAAGAAGGTTCTCCATTGTGCATGTAGCAGGGCTCAGGTTGCATTGCAGTAGGTGGTCTGGTTTGCTCTTCTCCACACTCGCATGTTGTGGATTCCACTTTGTAGCCTCATTTCTTAAGGTTGGCTCTGCATCTTGTGGTGCCAGAGCGCAGTCTGTTCAGCGCCTTCCAAGTCACCCAGTTTTCTGTGTGCCCAGGGGGGAGTCTCTCATTTGGTATCAGCCATTGATTGAGGTTCTGGGTTTGAGCCTGCCACTTTTGGACTCTCGCTTGCTGAGATGTTCCAGCGAGTGTCTGTAGATCTTAGAAAACTATTTCTTGATTTAAGTCATTAGCGTGCTGGCTGATACCCAAACAGAGGATGGGCCGGAGATGTCACTGCCTTGGTCCCTACATTATTGGTTGCTACTTCCAGCGGATGTCAGGCGGTGCAATACCGGCTAGACAGTGTGATTTCTCCAGTGGTGTAGGGCGCAGACACCCCATGATAATGTGGCATGTCTCATTAAGAGCCACATCTGTTTTAGCGTGGTGAGATGTGTTCCACACTGGGCATGCATACTCAGCAGCAGAGTAGCATAGCGCAAAGGCAGCCGTCTTCGCTGTGTCTGGTTGTGATCCCCAGGTTGTGCCAGTCAGCTTTTGTATGTGATTATTTCTAGCACCCACTTTTTGCTTGATATTCAGGCAGTGCTTCTTGTAGGTCAGAGCACGGTTCAGAGTAACTCCCAGGTCTTTGGGTGTCCAGTGGGACTCCTTCCCAGGTAATCCTCAGAGCTCGGGATGCTTGTCTGTTCTTAAGATCAAAAGCACATGTCTGTGTTTTAGATGGGTTAGGAATCAGCTGGTTTTCCCTGTAATAGGCAGTAAGAGCACCTAGAGCTTCTGTTCAACCATCTCAAAGCTCCCTGCTTGAGCAGTAATGGCACGATCATCAACATAGATGAAGCTCTCCATCCTTTCTGGCAGTGGCTGGTCATTTGTGTAAATGTTGAGCAAGATGATCCTTGGTCTCTGGATCCAAGCCACCGAGATAGAAAGGGAAGGAGGAAGAGGACAGAGTTGAAGGGTGGAGGAGGCCATGAAGGCCAGAAAGGCCCCTTTGGGCTAGCTGACTAGCTGACAAGAGTCCCCTTGCCCTTTCCTCTCTACCTTTGGGCTGGGTTCAGCACAACGGGTTAAACCACCAGCTGCAGAAAATTTTGCCGATTGAAAGGTTGACAGTTCAAGCCCTGGTTGGGGTGAGCTCCCACAGTCAGCCCTGGTTCTGCTCACCTAGCAGTTCAAAAACAGCAATGTGAGTGGATAAATAGGTACCACTTTGGGAGGTAATAAAAGGTGCCCATGCGGACATGCCAGCAAATCAATCAGGAGAACATTGAAGGACAACAAAGCTCCTCGGCATGGAAGATGGAGCAACAGAACCCCCTGTGGCTGGAGTTGAGCACAGCCTCCAGATGCCCAAGATGGAAAGCCTTTACTTCTGTTTATGTACAGTCTGTCTTTGTCAGTTTCATTGGCTGGCCCATAGGGACATGGCTGGGTAAAGGAACAGGTAAATAGAAAGGTAGGTAGATAGGCAGGCAGACAGGTAGATTGGTAACGGAAAGGTGGATTTTAATGTTGAGATAAATGATTTTAATTATTTCCATGTTTATGTATATGTATAGTCTATTTATGTCCCGGCATTGAATGTTTGCCATTTATATGTTGTGCTCTGTTCTGAGTCCGCTTCGGGATGAGAAAGGCGGAATATAAAAGCTTTAAATAAATAATATACTTTATTTAGATTCCATCCTATCTCCCTGAGGGGACTCGTGGCAGATTACAGTAGACATATACGGCAAGCACTCAATGCAGTTATACAATTTCTGGCTCCTCCAATCATGCTCTTGGGCCTTTTATGCAGGCCTTCATGCCAAAGAAATACGCTAATCCATTTGGTAGGATTCAAATTTGCCTCTCTGTTGAGCCGCCACTTTTTATGCTCCTGCATCAAGGTCTTGCAGAGCTATAAAAATACCTGTTTTATGGCCATCACGAGCCCTTTTATTCCCACTAACTTGGATATCAGGCCAGAGACCAAAGGAAACAGAGTCAACCCAGAGAAAACCAGATAAGTTGACCATGGCGGAAATAGATTTGCATCCCTGGTTGCTGGAGAGAAATGGAGGAAACCTAATAATAATAATAATAATAACAATAATAGGGGGATTTTGCCTATGTAAAACAATCTAGCCACTACAGAAGAAAGGAAAAACGTGTATGAAAGCATTCAGAAAATGGTTGAAAACTTGAGCGTGAAGAGACCTGAATGGACATGTTTTCAGACAGGAAAGGCTGCTGCTGGGTTCAGGCTCCAGCTGCAGGGCAGGCAATGAGGAAACACACAGGGATCAGGTGCAGCGGTTGAGCTTTATTGGAACAGGTAAAGGAGGGGAGAGGGAAAGGCTGCTTCCTGGCAGATCAAGAGGCCCAAAGCCTTTACTTGACCTTCTTCTTGGGGCGCAGATTGTTGGTGTGGCCACACTTCTTCTTGCGGCAGTTGACAGCCCGGGGATGCAGGCGGGCATAGCACCTGCGGGAGGGAAAGTATTATTATTATGTTGCATGGACTCCACAATGCTGACTGAGCAGTTATTGGTTGGGGATGGTGGGAGCTATATAGCGCCAGACACAAAGAGAGGCAGGCAATACAATTATTGTTATTATTTTGACACTACCCCATTCAAACCTGATTATTACTAAGTCACCACAGCCCTTAAAATTGAATGATTGTAGTATTATTTTCATCATGATATATTATATTATTATTATCACCACCCCCTTTAAAAACCTAACCATTATTATTATTTGATACACAACAAGATGAGTACACAGCAAACAAGATCTTTATGCTGGCTTTTTAATTTGTTTACATGTCGGACACTTCCCAAGTGTCTAGGACTGTGTGATGTATCGGCGAATAATGCGTGCAGACCCAAGTAGGGTGGCCTTTTGCAGCTGACAGATGGTAAATTTGTCAGTGCCTATTGTTTTCAAGTGCAGGCCAAGGTCTTTAGGCACAACACCCAGTGTGCCAATCACCACTGGGACCCCCTTAACTGGTTTGTGCCAGAGTCTTTGCAGTTCTATCTTTAAATCTCTGTATTGTGTCAGCTTTTCCAGTTGCTTCTCATCAATTCTGCTGTGACCTGGGATTGTAACATCAATGATCCACACTATCTTTTTTTCCACAATCGTGAGATCAGGAGTATTGTGCTCCAAAACTCCTGAATTCGGAAGTCCCAGAGCAGTTTAACGTTTTCATTTTCTGTAACTTTTTCCGGCTTGTGATCCCACCAGTTCTTTGTCACAGGCAGATGGTATTTGTGGCACAAGTTCCAATGGATCATCTGAGCAACGGTGTTATGCCTCTGCTTGCAGTCTGTGCAATCTTCTTGCAGCAGCTGAGGATGTGATCCATCATTTTGCTTGCTTCCTTGCAGAGTCTACACTTGGAATCTGTCATCGACTTTTCAGTTCTGGCTTGGATGGCATCAGTTCTAATGGCTTGTTCGTGGGCTGCCAGAATCAGGCCCTCTGTCTCCTTTTTCAGAGTTCCATTTGTGAGCCACATCTATGTTTTTTCCTTGTCAATTTTACTATCAATTTTTCCCAGGAACTGTCCATGGAGAGTCTTCTTTTGCCAGTTATCTCTTCTGCTCTGCTTTGTATTTTTACGGTATTCACTCTTTTGTCTTTTCAACTTGAAGCGGTTTTCTACTATTGACTTCCATCAATGTTGGTTCTTGACTGCCATTCAATTTGCTCTTCAAAATTCATCTGACCCTTTGGACATATTCTTTGCTGACCACATTTTTCACATGTCCATGCTTGATATTGTCCAGTTGTAGTATGCCCAGGTATTTATAGGCTTCAGGCCGATTTCACTTTTTGGTTTGTCGATTTGGTATCTCTATGCCCTCATCTGAGTAATTTTCCCTTTCTTTAACGCCATTCTGGTGTATTTGTCTAAGCCGAACTCCATACTGATGTCAGTGCTGAAGATTCTGTATTGGTCAGTGACTGGATTTCAGTTTTTGATTTTATTATTATTTTCTGATTATTATTATTATGTCGCCATCCCCTTAGAAACCTGATTTTGACTATTACTAAGTTGCAACCCTCTTTAAAACCTTATTATTTTTACTGACACAAAAAACAGTATGTCACAGCAAACGAGAGGCATATGCTGGAGTCGAACATTTCCCAAGCGTTTAGGGGAATAATATGATGATGATGATTATACTTATTATCATTATTATATTATTCCTATTATTATTATTATTAGGAGCTATTTTTTTGGTCGTGTCAGGAGCGACTTGAGAAACTGCAAGTCACTTCTGGTATGAGAGAATTGGCCGTCTGCAAGGACGTTGCCCAGTAGACGCCTGGATGAATTGATGTTTTTATCATCCTTGTGGGAGGCTTCTCTCATGTCCCCACATGAGGAGCTGGAGCTGATAGAGGGAGCTCATCCGCCTCTTCCCGGATTCGAGCCTGCGACCTGTCAGTCTTCAGTCCTGCCAGCACAGGGGTTTAACCCATTGCGCCACCCATTATTAGGAGCTCCTGGTGACACAATGGGTTAAACCCTTGTGCCGGCAGGACTGAAGACCGACAGGTCGGAGGTTTGAATTCGGGAAGAGTGCGGAAGAGCTCCCTCTGTCAGCTCCAGAGGATGGGCTGGAGATGTCACTGCCTTGGCCCTTTTATTACTGGCTGCTACGTCCCCATGGATGTCAGGTTGTGCAATACCAGCTAAACAGTATAATTTGTCCAGCAGGTTGAGCTCCCTCTGTCAGCTCCAGCTCCCCATGTGGGGACATGAGAGAAGCCTCCCACAAGGATGGTAAAACATCAAAACATCTGGGTGTCTCCTGGGCAGCATCCTTGCAGACGGCCAATTCTCTCACACCAGAAACGACTTGCAATTTCTCAAGTTGCTCCTGACACAACCAAATAATAATAATAATTATTATTATTATTGTCACCATCCCTTTCAAAACCTGATTGTCACTATTAGTAAGTTGCCACCCTCTTTAAAAACCTAACTATTATTATTTTTATATTATGTCACCATCCTCTTCAAAACCCGATTCTTAGTAATCTTGTTCTTGACTCATGATTTTGAGACAGGCTTGGCTGAAAAGTAGGCCACTTAAGAGTTTCTCTTTTGGAGAGAAAGAGGGATACAAATAATAATAATAATATTGTATTAAGTAAATACAGTATTATTTACTGTATTATTTACTGAGTCTAATGGTCCATTGAACCTAATGCCTATCCTAATTTTAGCTAAGCAATATTGCCAAAAAAGAAATGAAAATTAGATTCAAGTAAATAGATTAATAATATTAATATCATAATTATTAAGTCACCACTCCTTCAAAACCTGATTATCACTATTACTAAGTTGCTATCCCCTTTAAAACCTAACAATAACGATTATATTATTATTATTTCACCATCCTCTTCAAAACCCGATTATTATTATTATTATTTAGTTGCCACCTCTTTCAAAATCTGAAGAGCAGGAGGAAGTCTAAACAAAGGTTGATTAGGCCTCTGCACTGCATCTGCGTCTTCCTGCATGACAAAGGTTGAACTAGATGGCTTTTGGGGTCCCCTTCCAATGCGACAATCTCAAGGACGCCATTGCAACAATCTGTCTGGACAGCAAACCCGGTTGGAGCTCAACCACATCCTGCACAAGTTTTTAGCCCCCTCAAGGACTTCGATAGGCAGGGAAAAGCCCTCCACCCATTGGCCAATCTGTCTTTCCCCGTTCCCTCCTCCTATTGCCTTTCTTGTTAGACTGATACTTCTCAGGGACAGGCTCCCTTGTTCTGAGCCCATTCTGTTCTCCTATGATCATGGAGAGGCAAGGTGTCTGCTGGGAGTTAATATAGCTAAACCTTGTGTTGACTCCCCTATCTTGTGAATAAAGTTTCTGATAACTTTTTGAAAGTTTGACTCTGCTCCTGTAAATTGCTGAAACTCAATGGCTCTACTGCTGGCACTCGAAGCTTCGGCCAAACTGCTGCTGATGCTGCTGAATGATTTTCAAATGTGTTTTCCTACTTTTGGAAATTAGCCCCCAACAAGCCCACCATAAACATCACCACATACTTGCGGCAAATCATCTTGTCGCAGTTGTACTTCTGGGCCAGCTGGCGGAGGGAAGGCTCGATGATCCCGCCACGGAGACGCAGAACTAAGTGGAGGGTGGACTCTATTTATGTCAAGGAGAAAGAAAGGAAGGGAAAGGTGAGGAAAGGAAGGGAAAGAGAAGGGGAGGAAGGAAAGGAAGAGGGAAAGGGAGGGAGGGAACAAAATGAAGGGAAGGAAAGAAATAAAGGAAAGAAGGAAGGAAAGAAGAGAAAGTAAGGAAAGAAATGAAGGAAAGGAAGAAAAGGAAAGAAGACAGGGAAGGAAGGGAAGGAAAGGAAGGAAGAGAAAGGAAGGAAAAAAGGAAACAAGGAAGGGAAAGAAAGGTAAGGAAGAAAGGGAAAAAAGGAAAGGAGAAAAAATGGGTTAGCAGCAGTTTGAGAAGTCTCCCAAAGGATGGTCAAGAGATCAAACGTCACATCTTCACCATGGGGGCATATATAAAGAACTTTACAAACTTTCCAAGTTGACTACACACCCTTTTGAGACATCCCTCCTTTTGCGACATCATTCAGTTTTACTAGCAAAGCAGAGGCTGAAGTATTATATATATTGTGTGAAACTCTTCTAAAGGGTTGGTTCAACCTCCACTTGTATAAGTTTCATCTAAACCTGTACTTATAAAAGTGAAGTTTGGGATTTTCCCCCTTTTGACACTTCTTTATGCCCTACAGTCTTGGGTAGATTTCCTCTAGAGCTGCTCCACGGGGTTCATCACAAACATTGATGTGAATAGATTTTCTTAAGTGGCAGCTGCTACAACTCGATCAACGAATGGTGGAAATTAAACCTTTCTGGAGGTATTTAAACGGAGGCTGGATAACCATCTGTTTGGAGGATTTGGATTGTGCAATTTTCCTTGGCAGAAGGGGGTTAGACTAGATACCCTTTGGGGACTCCTTCCAACTCTAGTGATGTATAGACTGCCTGGGATTCAAGAGGAGTCTCTTTCTCTTGATGTTTTTGAACTGAAACTCTATGGCTGGATGTTCAGAGGGCTTTGACTCTGTCTTACTGCCTGAAAGGGGTTAGACTGGATGCCCTTTGGGGGTCCCAGCTGTAAAGAGTACCTTTCTGGATGTTGTAGTCCGAGAGAGTGCGCCCGTCCTCCAGCTGTTTCCCTGCGAAGATCAGACGTTGCTGGTCGGGAGGGATCCCTAGGAAAAGGAGGAACAATTATTATTGTTATTATCATCATCATCAAATTTTGTTACATAGTGTAATGGGCCTTTAACGGCAGACAGCCTACATACTTTGTGGACAGACACAAAGACAGCAGGATATATATATATCCACACACACACACACACAACAGTCCCTTGAGTTGTTATTTAGTAGGATATCATGGAATACAACTGTTTGGATGCTGTCTGTTCCGTTATTATTATCTTTATGTATCCTGCTTTTCTCTTCTTAAAAATAGACGCAGAGTGGCGGCTCACAATAAAGGCTTTCAGATTTGTGTGTTTCCTCCACCACAGACATCTCAATATTTCTTACTTTTTTCCCATTGGTGTGGAATTTGCATGCCCCACCCCCCTGCCTCTCCCTTAACCCTTTCCTATTCTTTTCTATGGCACATAGCAAACAGAGGAATTGATCAGCAACTTAACATACTAGTGGTTTGGGGAAAATTTACCATGATGTATAGGAGTTGTAGGTTCTGGGATGTATAGTTCATCTACACGCTAAGAGCACTCTGAACTCCACCAATGATGGACCTGGAACTAACTTGGCACACGGAACCCCCATGACCAACAAAACATGCCGGAGGTCTTTGGAGGGATTTATAAGGAGTTCTAGTTCACCTACATCCAGAGAGCACTATGAACCCAAACAATGACGGATCTGGACCAAAACTGGTACACGTACCCAATATACCCAAATTTGAATACTGATGGGGAATTGGCCTGGACATTTTGCAAGTTGTAGGTGTTGGGATTTATAGTTCACCTGTAATCAATGAGCACTCTGAACTCCACCAAAGATGGATCTGAATGAAAATTGGCACAGATACCTGACATGCCAAAATTTGATTACTGGAGGATTTGAGAGAAAATGAGCTTCCTTTCTGGGAGTTGTAGTTCACTCACAAACAGAGAAAAGGTGACCTGCCTTCACCAATGATGGACCAGGACCAAACTTGGCACACAGAACCCCCATGAATAACTCAATCTACTAGAGGGGTTTGAGGTGACTGACTCACCATAGTGGGAGTTGTAGTTTACCCTGCAAGCTGAGAGCACAATGAACCCCACCAATGATGCATGTACAGCAAACTTGCCCAACATAACAAACTTTAAGTACTGATGGAATTTTTTGGGGTTAACCTGGCATGATGCGAGTTGTATTTCACCCACAACCTTATGCACACGCACACACACACACATATATATTTCTGTCTCTGTGTGTGTGTGTGTGTATATATATATATATATATCTCCATCTATCATCTATCTGTATATCTGAATACAGACAGTCCTCAAGTTATGAACAAGAAATTTGTTAAGTTAAATATGTTTGTAAGTCGGAACAGAGACATGTTTAAAGTGTAACTTCAGCGAGATAGGTAGATATAAAAGCTTTGGCTTGCATAGGGAAAGGTGAACATCCCTGTGGTGTTTCCTTTGCTGTCTGTGGCCCTGTTCAGAAGATTTCACCTCACTTCCTCTCCCTGTGAAAACTGGATTTTGGGAAACGTGGCTTGTTGTGGAAACAAGGACTGGGGATAAAACTTTTGCGGAGACCCCTTTTCCCCATGATAACTCTTCCAGGAGTGGATTTCCCTTCCAAGGAGTAGCTTGCTCTCACTTCCTGTTCTTTCAGCCCTGTTCTTAACTGTGAGTCGTTTGTAAGCGGGATGTTTGTAAATATTGTTATTGCACAGTACCCTTCAAAACCTGATGATTACTAGTATGTAGTTGCCACCCACTGCAAAACCTGATGAGGAGGAATCTAAAGAGGTTGGATTGGCCCCTTCCTGAATGAAGGGGGTTGGAATAGATGCCCTTTGGGGAGTCCTTTCCAACTCTTTATAAACTCAGGACAGGAAACCCTGTTGGAGCTCAATCACATCCTGTACAAGTAGTCTGACAAGTTTATTGACAGCAAAAAGCCCTTCCCCTCCACTGGATGTGTTGCTGTCTTGTTTACTTTATTTATTCACCCCATTTCCCGGTCTGGTTTACTTTATTTACTCTCAGAAACATTCCTTTGTCTCCTTGGGATCCATTGAAGGCTCCTCCAGTACATTGCAAGTGCATTGATGACTTTCCTTTCTTCGTTGCCATGTGTTGACACCCATATCTGTCTGTCTGTCTGTCTATCTATCTATCTATCGCTATATGGCTGTCAAAGCATGGCAGCAAGAACAAGACAAGGGTCAATTTGCTTGCAATGTACTGGAGGAGGCTTTGATAGATCCGAAGAAGACAAAGGAATGTGCCAGAGAGTAAATGGAAGGAGCTTTTTTGGGAGACTGCTTCCCGCTCACCTTCTTTATCCTGGATTTTGGCCTTGACGTTTTCAATGGTGTCACTGGGCTCCACCTCCAAGGTGATGGTTTTGCCCGTCAGGGTCTTCACAAAGATCTGCATGATGGCTGCCTAGTCTAACCTGGAGGGGAAAAAAAGAGAGAAGAAATCATTACAATATGCAACCCATGTTTTGTCCCTGGGTTATTAATGTCATTTCCTCATTGGTTTGATCATAAAAACATGGACACAGTTGATTAAACTGCACAAACTTTGTCTTTGGGGGAGCACATTTTGCAACAGTTTTTCAATGAATATCTCATTGAGTCTCAACCCATTCAACATAATTTGTGGTACAAAGTTTCTGGAATAGAACAACTACTTGCAAATTAAGGACTGCACAACAGGAAATAACACTTTCAAACAAGAAAAAGAAAAAGTTTCAAATCTTATTACATAGTGTTATATTATTGTTATATTTATTTATACCTGGCTTTATCTCCCCAAAGGGTAATATATAAGTTTTAATATATTTTAGATATACACACCTTTAAATATAATTACAGAATATGTATTATATATATAATGTACAATAGTCTCAAATCTGCACATGCCCACTTTTTTTGCCTACTGGTTGTTCGATGTCTGGTTTATATTTTATGATGTTTTACATTTCATTGGTTTTACTGTTTTAGTATATTTTACTGTTAAATGTTTTTAATTGTGTTATTTGTAACCTTTGTTTATATCGGGCTTGGTCCCCATGTAAGCCACCCCAAGTCCCTTCGGGAAGATGGAGGCGGGATATTAGAATAAAGTTATTATTATTATTATTTCTAATTATTATAGTTATATAGAAGTTTAAAAATAATTACAGAATATATATTATATTATATCTACTATGTACAATTATGTCAATTTCAATATATAATTTTATATATAATTACCTTTTAAAATAATTTTAAGTTATATACCTATTTAAATATAGACTATATATATATAATCTCGACCTACATATGTTTGTGTTCGCAAAACTTGAAAAGTAGTCAGTCAATTGACTTGACATTTTGACACAATGCTGCATTCCAATACATGCATTTTTTTTTACAGGAAAATGAAATTTTGACAGCATTTGAATACATGTTAAGTATTTAGCATAAAACTAGCAGTCCGGGAATAGACACGGTGAAATCTGTGATACCCAAAGCAACCGCTTTCATTTCACCTCAGCAGTACAAGTAATGAAAACTGAACTCTAGCAACCAATCGCTGCGCAGCTTTCCTTTTACCTCTGCAGTAAAATAAATAACCTATTTCTTATCACAGCAGTATAAGAAATAACCAATCACAGCACAGCTTTCCTTATACCTTAACCATATAAGAAATACAACCCAATCACAGAGTACCTGTCATTTCACCTTAGCAGTATAAGAAATGTTATTTTACTATATAATTTTATAATATTTTATATTTATGGAAAAGGTTTCCCCTTATCATGTCCCAATCTGGGGGTGGGTGCTCATGTCAATTTCTAAGCCGAAGAGCTGGCGTTGTCCATAAAAGTTTCCAAGGTCATGATTCGCATTTTCTCAGTGTTTCTTGGTGAATCTATGTTCGTAGCAATACTTTTATTATCTCATTCATTTCATATCAGACTGAGCCTTAGCGAAGTGTGGTCAGATTTTGGTAGTTTTAAATATAGGTAAAGTTTCCTCTGACATTTAGTCCAGTCATGTCTGACTCTGGGGGTTGTGCTCTTCTCCATTTCTAAACCGAAGAGCCGGCATTGTCAATATATGCATCCAAGATCATGTGGCCAGCATGACTGCATGGAGCGTTGTTACCTTTCCGCCTGAGCGGTACCTATTATTTTACTAACATTTGCAAATTTACAAACTGCTAGGTTGGCAGAAGCTGGGGCTAACAGTAGGAGCTCACCCATCTCCCCAGATATGAACTGCCGACCTTTTGGTTAGCAAGTTCAGCAGCTCAGCAGTTTAATCTGCTGCACCACCAAGGGATTCTATTTTTATATATGCACAGCTTTAAAAAAAAATTACATGATATATATTGTATGTTAATATATACCTTATATAATTTTATATTCATCTTTAAATAAAATAATATACATATAACTATATTATATACATATATAATTTTCACATATATATATAATTACATAACATAAACTATATATAATTTTTAATATTATATATATATACACATCTATATAAATAAAAATGCGATGTTCATTTGTGGGATTAACATAACTGAAAAATCACTGGACGAATTGACACCAAATTTGGACACAATACACCTATCAGGCCAATGAGTGACCATCACTCATACAAACACTGAAAAACTTAAAATCCAAAAAAGCTAAAAGACACTACAGCGCATGTGCAAAAATGACTCCCCCAGCAAACAAAACACACAATAGCATATCCACACTCTCTTCTGGACTACAGCTCCCAGCATCCCCTAGACCAGGGCCTTTAGGAGCGGATGATCCAAATGCACTTTTTCTTTTTTTAAAAAAAATGTTTTATTGGTTTTTCCCACTCCCACCCTTCCCTCCTTGTACATGCAATTTATACATCAAACTACAGAAGTCACATTTGAAATATCAGTCTCAGTCTTAATTTTTCTACTCCACATCTTAACACATTCTCTAAATAATTCTTAACTGATTAATTGGTATAACTATATAGTTAATATGTTAAATGTGGAAATAACAAATTGCAAATGGAATAATACAGATAAAATTGAAAAGGTTACAATAACTAAGAGGATGTGGGAACCAACAAATGCACTTTTTCCAAGCTGCAAGCTTTCTTCTCCTTGGATTTCTTTGAGAGCATCCCAATCCCTGCATATTTACAATTTCCTATTCCTGGACTGCAACCCCCAGCAATCCTCCAGATAAATAGATTAGATAGAGACAGATAGGTAGGTAGATAGATCACGAGGACTGCTGGGAGTTGCAGTCCAAGAATAGGTAGAGAAGGAAGAACGGGGAGAAGGGGGGAAGGGAAAGAAAAAGGGGGAAAGGAAGGGAAAAGAAGGAAGGAGAGAAGGAAAGAAAATAGGGAAGGAAGGAGAGAAAGAAAGAAGGAGAGAAAGAGGGAGGGAAGGTTGGCCACAGCAACACGTGGTGGGTACAGCTAGTATTTAAATAAAATGATATCTATAACTATATTATATTATGTGAGAGAATTGGCTGTCTACAAAGATGTTGCCCAGGGGGATGTCCGGATGTGTTACCATCCTTTGGGAGGCTTCTCTTGTGTACCCGCATGGGAAGCAGGAGCTGGCAGACGTGAGTTCACTCCATCTCGCGGATTACAAACACTGACCTTTTGGTCAGCAGTTCTGCCAGCACAAGGGTTTAACCCACTGCGCTGCGAGGGGCTCAATGATATATATACAATTTAGATATAGATATATATAAGAATCTATATCTATATAATATTTTGTATTTATGTATCTATTTGTATTTATATATACACATTTTAATATAATCATATATGTAATTTTATATATTATAATACATATATATTTATATATTTATTTTAAATATACACGTATTAAATACAATTATATATATATATATGACTTGTAAATATATACATATTTTAATATACTTATATACATATATATTTACACATATTTAAATATAATTCCATATATACTATATAGATACTATAATACTATGTAACTTTATATACTTATATATTTATATATATATTTACACATATTTAAATATAATTCCATATATACTATCTAGATACTATAATACTATATAACTTTATATACTTATATACATGCAATTTATATATATATATATTATATTTACACATATTTAAATATAATTCCATATATACTATCTAGATACTATAAAACTATATAACTTTATATACTTATATACATACTATATATATATATTTACACATATTTAAATATAATTCCATATATAGTATCTAGATACTATAATTGTAACTTTATATACCTATATATATATATATTATATTTACACATATTTAAATATAATTCCATATATAGTATCTAGATACTATAATACTATATAACTTTATATACTTATATATATACAATTTATATATATATATATTATATTTACACATATTTAAATATAATTCCATATATACTATCTAGATACTATAAAACTATATAACTTCATATACTTATATACATGCAATTTATATATATATTATATTTACACATATTTAAATATAATTCCATATATACTATCTAGATACTATAATACTATGTAACTTTATATACTTATATATATATATTATATTTACACATATTTAAATATAATTCCATATATACTATCTAGATACTATAATACTATATAACTTTATATACTTATATACATGCAATTTATATATATATATATTATATTTACACATATTTAAATATAATTCCATATATACTATCTAGATACTATAAAACTATATAACTTTATATACTTATATACATACAATTTATATATATATATATTATATTTACACATATTTAAATATAATTCCATATATACTATCTAGATACTATAAAACTATATAACTTCATATACTTATATACATGCAATTTATATATATATATATTATATTTACACATATTTAAATATAATTCCATATATACTATCTAGATACTATAATACTATGTAACTTTATATACTTATATATATATATTATATTTACACATATTTAAATATAATTCCATATATACTATCTAGATACTATAATACTATATAACTTTATATACTTATATACATGCAATTTATATATATATATATTATATTTACACATATTTAAATATAATTCCATATATACTATCTAGATACTATAAAACTATATAACTTTATATACTTATATACATACTATATATATATATTTACACATATTTAAATATAATTCCATATATAGTATCTAGATACTATAATTGTAACTTTATATACCTATATATATATATATTATATTTACACATATTTAAATATAATTCCATATATACTATCTAGATACTATAATACTATATAACTTTATATACTTATATATACAATTTATATATATATATATTATATTTACACATATTTAAATATAATTCCATATATACTATCTAGATACTATAAAACTATATAACTTCATATACTTATATACATGCAATTTATATATATATATATTATATTT